CCCCCTACAAACAACAGAGCGAAACGAAACCCAACCAACCAAAAAAAAAAAATATATATATCCCTAAGAAATCCAGGTAAAATCCTTGTCGTTCTCCCCAGAGTTGTCCTGCTCCTGCGGAGAGTCGACATCTTTGTCATCATCTAAAATCACGTCATCTTGTGACATTCCTACGTCATCCTTCCACTTGATGTCGTCGTCGTCTCCCATCTCCTCGTCTCCTTCCACTTTGATGTCATCCGGGTCTTCCATGTACTGCCCCTCCCCGGGGTAGCACTCGTCTGGGGACCCTTCCCCGCCGTTGTGGTCCAGGTGACCCGCGATGCCTCGGCCAGAGCAATCGGCACAGACTCCGTGGCGGCGCGAGCCGTGTTTAATCCCCACGCTGGCCGCGGACATGAACACTCGGTTGCACACTTTGCAGACGTATTTTTTATCTTTGCTGTGGACCTGGAAAAGGAGAACGATCGGAAAAAAAGTTAATGCCAAGGGAGGCGGATGGAGAGCCGCGGGGAAGGACGCGCTCCCCCGACCTCGCCACCGCAGCCCACGAGCGCAGCCCGGGATCGTCACGGGCTTCCAGCACGAACTCAAAGCCACTCTGATTAATTCAGCCCTCAAATGGTGTCACACAACGGAAAAAGCCTTCTGAGACCGCCTTCGGATCATCGAATGAGTAGTTTTGAGAGGCGCTTTTATCACTTAATTTTTTTTTCCTCTCTTTTCTCGTTGTTTTTCTGGGGTGCAACAGTTGCACTGCAGCATCACCGCGAGGAAAACTTTCCACGGTACAACCCCCCCCCCTGCCCCAGCCCAAGCGCTGGCTCTCTGCGGAGCAAGAGCAGAACCACCCGTCATCAAACCGCTGTTAACATCACGGTAATTTAGCGGTTTCTCTCCTGATCCCACTGCTGCCAAGAACCAAAGAGCAGGGGCACCGTTAACACATCCTGTATCTCTAAGAAAATGCAGCCGAATGCACTTGTAACCTTATTTCTGACTGCTTCGGTGGCTGAAAAGTGGTTTGTCACAAATGTTTCTGTTCTATAGATCAGGCTGCATTTTATGTCTGAAAATAACAGGCGCAAGGAGCTATCACACTTACAGAATAAGCAGTAAGTGGGAAAATGCTCTGTAGGATACCAGAAATCACTTCGAGATTCAAAATTCACCACACAATGAGGAAAAATTACATACTTTGAGAAGCACAAAAACACCTAATCAAAGGTGAAACCTGTTGCTGGCCACTTTTGCCATGTGTAGAATGAAAAGAGCTTGCTCAAAACGTTCACCTGCTCCTCTATCTCCCAAAGGAAACAGCCAAAGCTCCTGAATTCCACCACGAGGAGCCTCATCAGGTACTTTAATTTATATACATACATATATATATAAAAAATACACATATATATTCACTTTATCTATATATAGTTTAGTCGAAAGGGATCTACAACAATCCTCGACTGCCTGAGTACTTCAGGGCTGACTGATACAGATTTTATATATTTTATTTTATATATATATATATATATATATATATATTCTTTGGGTTTTTATGTATTAACACCACACCAGGACAGCCCAGGAGCGTGCCTTGGCCAGCTCGGGGTTGTCCCAAGCAAGCACTCATGCACACCATCAGCTACCAGAGCCTCGTGGCACATCACGCCAGAGCCTAATCCTTTTCTGAACTCATTTTTTTCTTCCCATGCTCGCCACGGCTTGTAGGAAAGGTTTTGCCGGTTAAACTCGCCTTGGCTTGGAAAAGTCCTTCCTTTTCTTTTAAACTAGCTGCCTGGCGAGGCCAGCTCCCCGCTGCTGCCCCCGCACGGGACCAGATTCTCTGCAACCCTCCGCTCCCAACACCCTGCAAGCCAAAGGTATTTGGGAAGAGGACAGACTGACCCATCGCACCCCCTCAGCCCTCGCTACCACAGGACACTCGTTCGGGCTTTGTACCGCCCCGGTCCCAGCCGTGTTCAAAGCCCACGAGCTCTTCTGATGTGCTCTGGCTTCAGGTTTCCCTCGCTCTGAGCTAGTCCCCGCGATGGATTCTTCAGCTGCATCACGCAAAGTCATTGTATTTTATTTTTCTTTTTTTTTTTTTTTTTTTTTTTTTAAATTTTTTTTTTTTTTTAAACTACGTGTAAGCTTTTTTAAAAGCAGTTGGACAGGGCTGGTCAAAGTCATCTAACAACATCTATAGGCATCCCTCATTTTTAACTGTTAGAAGAATGATTTTCAGGCATCAAAAGCTGAATAGGATTACAGAAGGTGGTCAAGGGTGCAGAATAGGGCTAAAAGAGCCGTACAAAAAAAGGAAGCAATAAAACAGGTACCAAAGCAATGAGTATTTCTAATATCTCTTTAAAAACTGATGACTTCTCTCCCTCTTTTCCCACGCTGACAGTTTAGTCAGCGTATTTGAAGTGAACCACGTTACTGGATGGAGCTGAGCAGAAATTAATCTTATTTCCCTTACAGCCAAATCAGTAAATATTAAACACAGAAACGGTGTCTGGCCCTCAGTATCTGAAAATGCCGTTAGAAAGATCGTATAATAACTAAATACTATTCCAAGGGAAAGAAGGGAAAAGCGTGCTGACAACATTCTGAATTTCCCCCCCAAATTTTAAAAATGGGTTAAGTTCTCGGAAATAAAGTGACGAAGGCAACCAGCTGGCACGACAAGGTGTTCCCTGCTGCAAAGCTAGGAACAGGGCTTGAAATCTGTGCGCTTGCAGCAGGGCTGAGCTCCCCACCTGGATCTGCCTCCCGAACACCAGCACCCCCCAAGGAAATAACGAGGGGGGGCGTCTCGGGGAGCAGGCAGTCCCCCGGGCAGATGGCCGGGCACTCGTCCCAGTGGAAGGAGGCGGCAGTGGATGGCGGAGTTCTGAACCCCAGAGCAACTCCTCACGCAAGGCCCTCGATGATCCCGGCGCCAGGGGCTAAACGTTCCCTGAGTCGGGACGCCCCGGGTCACCGGGCAGCAGCTCTGCCCAGGAAAAGGCAGGGATGGAGCAAACTGCCAGGTGGTGTAGTATCTGTAATAACAGCCAAGTCTGCTAAGGATTTATTAATAAATAATAATTTCCAAAAAAATTTTAAAAGCTACCGCGAGGAAACAGAAGCTCACTACGCAAACAAAACTCCTCCCCATCTAAATTTATCCTGTCGGTTCTAAGCAGTCTGCAGTCGCTTGCGATGCTGCGACGGAGCAGGTAAGAAAGTTCAGTACGTACGGAGACAAGTCACTTCAAACTAGAAACAAGTAACTTCTGGTGAAGTTTTTTTTGAAGCTGAAAACCTTGAGAGTATTACAGGGGTAGCGCTTCCTTCTTGAACACAGCTGTTCGCTGCAACGGGGTGAGAAACCTCAGTTTATGCTCTGCCACCGCACAGAAATATCACTTGGGATGCAAATATTTTGGAAAGAAAATTTTGTTTTACTTTAATATTCCGTTTCAAAGAAAACACGCATTTCTATTCAATTTATATATTATATAAAGACTGTAAAAATATGCTTTTTAATCCGAGTTAAACTAAAATAGTCCCTTTTGGCTTTGGTTACCAGTTGAGGAACTGAGAGAAACAAGGTTTTTGGTGTGTTAAACCTACTTCCTTCTCCTACATGTTATTTTTATAACACTTTTTTTTTTTTTTTTTTTTTTTTAATTTGACACACACCAGCATTCATCTTTACAGATTCACCCGAGAGTTGGCAATTAAGCCCCAAAACATCAGACGCACCGGAAATAAGATGACAAGAGAAGTGTATGAAGCCAGCAGTTAATCTTGCCACAAGCCCTTCAGACAGCCTGCACAACTGCTTGTGTAAATGAAGATCACGGTGCCATTTGCATATAAGAAAATACCCCTTTTCAGAGCTTCACTTCAAAAGAAACTTCAGATAAATAATGAAACTGGAATTTTTCTGGGGCCTTACACAATACCCAAAAAAAAACCCCCTCAAATCTGTGTCTTTTTTTCTTTAATTCATCCATGCCTTGGAGTCATTTATGGCTCTTTGGAAATGAAAACAAAATCGGTATTGTCAAGGCTGCACTTTTTTTCAGGAATTGCCACTAAAAATTTGTAATCCAGCTGGTATTTTCTAAATTAGCTTCCTTCCTGACATAAAAGAAGTCAGAGAGCGATTCAGACAGACATATATCCTTCTCCTGTATGTGTTCACAAGTGGCTGATTTCATCTCCCTGGGTGTCTAACAGAACTTGGAACTTCACACTCAACAGAACCAAGTTGCTCACCTAAAATGATACCAGCAGCAAAAAAAAAAAAAAAAAAAAAAAAAGAGAACTAAATTTAATTTGCAGAGCACCTCAGTTTCATTCCTGCAGGCTACCGGGCATTTCCCTGCCTTCCCCATGGTATGTAAAAATATGCTGACTCTCATTAGTACAGAATTCACAGAGCAAGAAAAGGAATTGCAAATTCTGTGCCACCTGAAGCAAGCTGCATTGCTGCTATCAAACTGCCTTTGCAGGCAGGTCTGCCAGGGGACGCACGCGCTCGCAGGACTGGCACAAGGCACTCAAGTTCTTTTTACAACCAGGAAAACATTAACTACTCTAAGCACAACCTCCTCTGGTAAGATGTATTTACACTGAAAATTTAATACATACTATAAATAGGATACATGTAGATAATATAAATATGGAAAAAGTTGTTTAAATGACCTCAACAAACCGATTCTCAGTCACTGAAACTGTCAATACTCTTTTTTTTTTTAATATCTCGCTGTATTAAAACCTCAGAGCTACCATCCCCAGTATTTAAAAAAAAATAAATTAAAAAATCATGTTTTCTTTACAACCTTAATTAGAGGGACACCAGAACTTGCTGGTGTGCATTACTGAAATAATTACGTAGAAACTATTTGCTCTTCCTCAACATCACCTCTAGCTTTTGCTCTTCCTCAACATCACCTCTAGCTTTTCCTCTTCCTCAACACCACAAAGCTTTAAGAAACCACTTTAAGATATTCAAATTCATTCTTCCCTGAAAAAAAAAAAAGCAGTTTGGCTTAAAATTTTGTTTCTGAGGAAGTTGTGAAAAGCCAGACAATGGCACCAAGCAGGCTCCTCACTGGAGCAGCCGTCTGTAATAAGGCGTAACGTTATTTTTGATAACTAAGCACTGCCAGACCAGAGTAGCTCTGCCTTGAATTCTTCTTGCTGAGTGACTGATTTTAAAGCTTTCTGCACAGAGTCACTCAACCTATTAAAAAAAAGGGAAAAATTCCTTTTCCATCCTGAAGACAGCATTAGGTATTCTCCCTCCTGGGAAGGAGAGGGCTGCGGGGCTGGAAGCCTCCGGCTGAGCGAGGAGAGCAGGTGGAGATTAGCTCTGGATGAACAGGCAGCAAAACACGGGGCCTTTGAAAGGTGGAGGGAAGAAAAGATACTGGAGAAGCCTTCAGAGGAGCCCCGGAGGGGAAAACCTAAGCCAGAGGAAGCTCCTGTTATCTGTCCCCCGAACAAACGGGCCCGGCTGCCACGCCGCCCCCCTGGCAGGGGCACTCTTACCAAGGTGTGCCGCTTCATGTGCTCCCGGCGGGTGAACTTCTTCCCGCAGATCTCACAGGGATAGGGCCTTTCCCCCGTGTGGGACCGCATGTGTCTCTTCAGGATGCACTGGTGCATGGCTGAAAAACTGCAGTACGGGCACTTGAACTTCTTCCTGATGACTGTGAACTCGTTGACTGGAAGAGAGCAAGAGGAAGACGCAGGTTACTTGTGGAACGTCTCAAAACAGTCAGTCTTCTTGTTTACTATTAAACTAGTTCACTGTGAAATCACATTGTCACCTCTTAACCATCTACAATTTTTTTAATCCTTATATTATTGCACTTATTCAAGCTAAGAACTTCAAATACCTTCACCAGAGAAGCCTCCGAACAAACCAATGCACAACGGTCTGTAACACACATTGCCTAACGCTTGCTAAATGGCAAATAAAAGGGCTGACAATCTGCCATAAGTCTGGCTTATCATAACGAATTAGCCTAAAGATCAAGATCTAAAATTCTAACACTAATATTTAGTGTTAGAATTATTTAGAAGAATAGTCTTATTTAGAAGAAGTTACTAGCCACGAACAGAAAACCACAAACGTTCACACCCTGACAGTGCCCTGCGCTTTGGTTTTATATTTATGGGGTGATGCAGGAACATCATCATACACTTGAGGAGCATTTCAGCGAGGGTGCAGAGACCAAGGATTACCCAGAAGAAACACACTCTACATTATCCAACTCTCAACTACTATGAGCACATATATAGAACTATAAAAGGATGCTTAATATCGAATTAGGGCACGATCCTTGCAAGCCTCCTGATAAAACAATTTGATGGACTTTTTTTCTGCCCCCCCACCCCCTTCCCCAACCGTATTTAGCTGAACTAGAAAAGGGATGAATTCTCTGAAGTCATTCTGACATTGTTGATTCTTTTCTTCTTGTCATCTCCACAGAAGCGCGCTGGAAGCGGACCCAGGGGACACAAACAGTATCGACAGCCCAAGGGTCGAATTTGCCAGCAGAAGGCACGTGGCAGCTGCGGTGGTTATTTCCTCCTCCAACCAATGTGAAAGTGCCACATGCAAAATGCAGCAGGTGAAAACAGAATTATTTGCTCCTCCCTGAGGACATCCACCCACTCTAAAGTTTGGAAGTGACTGCCCACCTGGATATGATCTTAAATCTCCACCTTCTAATAATGCTGTTGCTTTCCCTTAGCATGTTAATTTTTCACATTTTTACCCACTTTTCTCCTAATTATTGTTATTTCTCAAAGCAATAACAACGAGAGGGGGGAAAAAAAAAAAAAAAAAAAAGAGCAAGTTCTAGTTCATCACCTTAAGCACACAATCGTGTATGTAAATGGCTCTTGGTAAATGAAGACAGGCCATGTACGAGAGCTGAGGGAGTAAGGGAAGCACCAGACCTACTATATGGCTTCTGAGATACCGAGTACTCTGCAATATTTTTAGATGCTTATTGAAATGTTATCTCCTACAAATGCCCTACCTACTGTGCATGCCCTCAGTATACCTCAGAATAATGCCCTGGGAGTTACACCTTATGCTGAAAAAACATTACTTAAAAATAGGCTTTTTTCAAGAAAGTCTTCAAGAAAGTCAGTAGGCCTATGTACTCAGTGTCCTTCAATGCCTAATTTGGGGGCTTTTCTTCTAAAATTTCCTTCGTCTCGTATTTGCAATACGGATAAAACAACGTGAAAAGTACTTTCGTGGCTCCTGTGCAAACTCCATGACACTACTGAGACATCTTTACGTAAGGTAACACCACCCCTTCTCGATCAGAACAAACATTTCAACACAAGCTCACCTTAGAAGTATTTTCAGAAGTTTTTTATTGTTCTAGTGCAGACTAAAAGCACGGTTCGAGATCAATCTTGAAAGCTGCTGTGATACTGATTTTGTCTTAGCATTTGTTTTGACTACCTGGGATTAAAGCTATCCTCCACGCTTTGATTAGCAGTTTGAATTGGATCTAATATTCTCATACTCTTTTTCTTGTGTCCCCAACTTGCTGCTTTGGAGGTCCACCCTACAGGTGGTTTTTTTTTTTATTTGGTGGGACTTTTTGCAGCACATTTTGTGAAGCTGTCAGGAGAATTTTCTAGCTCAAGGAAGAAAAAAAAACCAAACAAACAAAACCAAACTCTACTCACTTGGGCCATGGCTGCAATACTGATGACGGGGTAAGTGAACGCTAAAGAATATTTCACTCACCCATCAGTAAAGATTATTCACTGCGATCGGGTGGAATTTGGAAGGGCTGGTTTTTGAGTGACTGTGCACTTGCAGTGCTTTGGGAACCTCCCAGAGGACGAACTTCAACATGGCCCATTGCCCAGAGCCTTGTGCAAGCTCTTGTTGATAATGTAACCACCCAGCCCTTCCCCAGACCCATCCTGATTTACAAGGTCTTAAACTTTTTTTTTTTTTTAAACAACTAGAATATGAAAACTCTTTCTCTTTTATATTACAGGAAAAGTATTTTTTCTTTTATCGTCTCCTTTAGATTTGTCTATACAATCAGAGGCAAGGAGCCCACCTTCTTCTACAGCAAGTATTAATTTTGTGATACAAAGCTATTTATGATAAATACATTTCCAGTCTGATCTTGCTCAAGCATTAGTGATAGGCCACACACACACACACTTACATTCCCCAGGATCACTATAAACCTATTACTATGAAGTCTAGACAAGGTAAGCAAGCTGTAAGCTGATCAAGGGAAGTCAAGAGGGGCCACGTAACCCTCCTTCCTCCAGGCCAAGGCCACGTCCAGTACTGCTCAACACCACAAACGTGACGTGTAGACCACAGCCAGCGGGGAAAGCCTCTCAGCAAGTCAGGTTTAAGCACCTCACTCCGGAAAACGCTCACATGGAGATCCTGACAGCAACCAGATCCCAAGATTACGAAGCAAAAGTGCTTTAGAGAAGAGAATACCACAAAATCCCTTATTTCCTACATCGCCAGATTGCACCTGATCCTGTCATTTCCTAAATGACCAGATGCCTCCTATCATTTACTGTCCGACCTGTCCCTTCACTTTATAGCCGAGCTCCTGCAGAAACCGCAAAGGCAGCTCCAACCGTTAGGTGCACAACCTGCACCTCTGCCACGGTACTTCCACACACAAATAGCCACAGGTTTCCAACACAGAAATGTATTTCCAACAACATATTGGCAATGCTTTCTGATTCCAGGATCCCTCATGCTTACTTCTGCCTGCATTCAGCTTAAACTGCTCCAGAGTAACATTTTTCAGCTTCTAATACGCTGATATTTAAAAAGTCACAGAACACTTTTTGCAGCTACAGTTTTATTGAAAACTATTTTTTTCTTTCCATCAAACAGCCATGTATTTAGTTCTTGTATCTCCACAGTAAACACCTTAAAAACAAAAGCATTATTAGAAAAATAACTGTATGGCAGAGGTAACAATTCCAAGCTCCTGTGAAACGGATGCACCCCTAAGTACCTATACTTAATGAACAACATACCAGCTTTGGTATGAGTATTATCTTTTGTCTAAATGACAATATTTTATAGAACTCATGTATAGCAGCATTAAGGTCCTAAGAAAAAATCTGCAATGAGATCATCAAGACCATTAACAGCAGCACCACAGGTAACCAGCTACTAGACACAACTACAGGAAGAAGAGCAGCAAAAAGTGGAGAATGTAATACACAGTGCCATAGTGAAAAAAAAAAATCTATGTACTTAACTTCACTAAAATATTTACAGATGATGTGCATTTTTTAAATGGGCACAATAATGCTTGGAAAAAAGCCTTTGGTATTGTCACCGCAATTAACTTTAGTTATTTCACTGAGGCTGTTAAATGAAACAGGTTCCTACGCCCCTGACTTGAGAAGGGAAAGCACTACCGCTGAAACGCTACACTCAAATTTTAAGAGAATTCTTGTCCACTTAATCCTCATTATATTTAAGGTTATAAATAGCAAGGTGCAATTTAACTGTCAAACTTACACGTCTTCCCATGCCATTTTCGAATGCAAAAATCCTGCTTTCAAAAAGTTTTCTAAGCGAACTCGCTAAGCCTCTGCTATGTTATACCCTATGGTTCTAACATTTTAAAAAAACTCCCCGTGATCCTGAAGAGAAACACTGGAAATTCTCAGTGCTGAACTCAGGAAGCCCTCTGATGTACAGGCCAAGTAAAATACTACTTAAACCTCTATTAGAGAGAATGAGTTGACCTGACTATAGAGAAAAAAAAAAAAAAAAAGAGTTCCATGTTGAATTAAATCCTCAAATATGAGAAAAATGAACAAACATGAAGTGTCAGTAACTATTATCACAACGAACGAATCCTTTTAAAATTTGCTGAAGTTACTTTTGCTGGCATCTTACTTTTCCAATTCAGACAAGTCCTACCATGCTGCTCCCAGATTGCCAGGTAAGACTCACTGTGGCCAAAACTTTCTCTTCTGGCTCAGCCTTCTCCTCCCTCACTTGCTGGTTCTTTAAGAGCAAAATAAATGACAAAGCAATTAAACTGACATCTGCAACAAGGGAAGCTGACAAACTATAAACTACACACATTCACAGACAGCCACGATCCACGATGCCAAAGATGTCAGTGGGAACAAGAGTGAGAAAAATGAACGAGATTTTGCAAAAAAACATAAAATTTAAGGAAAGTGAAGTATGGTGCACTACACTGATTATACAGGAACATGTTCTCAAATCTGACCGTGCCCTGCGGAAACAAAGAGGAAGAACTAACTAAGCCAAGGAGGGAAACTCTGGCTTCCCGACCCTACAAATCCAGCTGTGAGGGGCAGGGAGCCGCCTCCCCGAAGCTCCGACTCCCGGCAGAAGGGGCCGGGCAGTGCTGCCCAGGGCGTACCCACTCCCTCGGTACCCGAGCAGCAGGGACCAGGCGATCCCTCGTCCAGCTCTCCACCAAACAGCTCTGCAAGACACTCTCTACTGGAGACCTCCAGGCTGCTCAAGTCCACTTCGTGCACCGCCAAGTATTTCTCGGTTTTGTCTCCCTGAGATGCAAAAACATTATGGAAAATAACTTCTCTGAAGAACTCTACAGACCATTTGTAGAAGTTGCTTTAGTCTCCTCGGCTGCCTGTCTCACACGTTAAGGAAAGCAACCCTACAACGCCACAGCTCAAGCTGCTGACAAGCTGTGTTGTACACAGAGCAGCTGGGAAGCACTACGCTTAATTCTGCTACTTTCAGTTCACAGTTACTATAATCTGGTTTTGCATGTAAATATATAGCAAGAGATAGAGAAATATTTAATCTTTAAAAAAAAAATAAATTCATATAATAAAAACTACAGTAAGACTTCTACCTTCCAGTAACAACCATTACTGATTTCTGTATGCACACCCTAAGTTACAATTAGACCTTCTGGGTAAAGCCTCCTCTCCTCAGTTTCAAGAACATGCATTCAGTCTGGCTGACTTAATTACATTATATAAAACAAACGAGTCGGAAAAATTTACAGAATTCCTGAAAACCACAGCCGTACTCCGGTATAATTTTTTTTGAAGTCCTAAAAGCACTCAAACCTAGCATCAATAAAATACACAAGCCCTGTGACAGCTTTCAAGCCCAAATGATATACCTTGTTACACATACGAACAAGCAGCAGGTTCTTCTCCTTTAAATGACATAGAAAACCAGACTTTACAGCTTACAGGGCTGAGCAACCCAGTGCTTTCAGAGCCCCTAATCTCAAACTGAAGCACCCTGAAATGCCCTAATTGTCTAACGGGCACAACACTAGAACAGAACTCAGAAGACTGAATTCTGTTATTAATTCTATTGCTACCATGCTCAACAAGCTGAGGTATGTTATTTTCCCAGGGAATACGAGGAAAACATCACCATTTCTTTTATAAAGCACTTTGAGATCTACTGATTTAAAAAAAAAAAAAAAAGTTTAAGGCAGTATAAGCGCACAGCATGACCACACCAATGAGAGCCAAAGTGCCCGCTAGATGGACTGACAAAAGTTATTTTTGCACAAAAACTGCACCGTGGCTGCAGTTACACAGTATGTGGAACCAGCACGTTATCATCCTGACCAGCTTTGGGGAGTTACTCTATTGAATTACACCTGTGGGTACGTTCGTTCGCAGCACAAGAACCACGGAACAATTTGCTTTTCCTAGTTTTAAGTGTCTCGTTTACACGCCAGGAGCTACGTGTCCTCAGGATCCTCGTTTCGTCCTACACTCTCCAAAAGCTCAAACCCGCCCAGCTGGGCAGAGCCCAGGTCACACGCTTTCACGTGGCTAGTGAGTTTCTTCTGTGTACCGAAGCCCTTGCCACAGAAGAGACAGACAAAAGTACGCTCGTTCGAGTGCACAGACATAAGATGCCGGTTTAAGTCTGTCTTGTCTCGAAACAGCTTGGCACAGATAGGACACTGCATCTTCTTACAGTTGAAGTGGATGGTCTTTTCGTGTCGATCCATGTTTGATTTCAGAGTGAAGCTGGCGGGGCATTTGGAGCACTGGAAGCGGGCGAGCTGGCCAGGGGACACGCTGTCAGCAAGGCCAGGCCGGGAGCAGTCGAAGTCGAAGGGGAGAAGCATGGAGAAAGCATGCTCGTGGATGTGCTCCTTCAGCTCTTCAGCACACTGGAAAACCCTCCTGCAGAAACCACAGGTCAGCCTCTTGCCCAGGGCTGAATCCAGGAACAGGCCATCAGCGGTTACATCCATGTCTTCCGATCTCGAAAAACTCGTATCTAAAATAGAAATACGCAGAGACACGCACAAATCAGTGTCTTCTGGTTTAAGTAACGATAGTTTAAAACAAATATTTTTCTCTCTACTTACTCGAATCGGAGTTATCGAACTGCCAAAGTGCTAAAAATCCATCGTAAGCGGCCTGCAAATGAAAAGCATACTGAAGTTAAGGCAAGCACCGACGAGGACACGACTTTGCAGTTAGTGCTGACTCCCATCTCGTCACAGCCTTTGCCCCTTCTTTCAGGGAAACTCATCATCGGACGTGGCAACCCTACTTGTCCTCACAAAGCTGGCACTGTCGAAGCAGCTAAGTTCACTGGGCCCGATTTTGCAAGGTTCGGTGTTTTGAAGACAGTAATCAACGTGTCTGGCTAGGTCCTGGGTACCTACTCCGTTTCCAATCCCGTAAGCATCTGTAGCTCCCACTCAGGGCAGTAGCAAACGCTGGATAGAAAATTTTTAGCAGATACAACAGAACTGGAAAATTTTCCCTCAGCCATACATAGCCACTTTTTCTTTCCACATAGAAAAGCCCATAGAACACAAACACCTTCTGCGTGGTTCCCTTTATGCAATGCTCTCTGGCATTGCTGATCCAAATTACTAATAAAAGCTGATTATTTTTTTTTTTTTTTTAAATTTTTTTCCTTAAACCATTTGCAGTATGCCGGCGTGTGGCAGATGGCAGCCCTCTATGAGGCAGAGGCATGATGAAGCCTGGACAGGTCAGCTGGAGACTGGGCAAGCGACTACCAGCCATTCTGACCAGCTCACTTTGCTCTAAGGTGACTGCAGAGAAAAAAAAAAATAATCTGTGTTTCCACCCATTTGTTTAATAGAACTAAAGCATCATTCAAAAATATTAAGAATAAGAAAAGCCACAGAAAGCTATGGATTTTGTGTCAAATTCCTGACTCCTCTAATGCAGAAAGCCAGCTTGCTTCTATCCAAATTTAGACAGAAGAAATCCAAATGCAAAACACCCAAGCAGGCAATGGATAGCTGGGGTCTCGGCTATCTTTATGCCATTATTATATTCTTGTATGCAATGTTTTGTAAACAAAGGGATTTACAATAAAATACAGTTTTTTGAACACAAGTTCTGTTGAGGTAAGGCAGAAAGACTAAAATTAGGACAGCACCAGCCCTGACCTCAGACTTCTAGTTTTAAAATACACTGTTATTTAAAAAAAAAAAAAAAAAAGCTAACAAATCAAAGCGTGAAGTATTACGGTCTTTCGAAGTATTGCTAACTGGGGAGAATTGGATTAAACAAATACCTCTGCATTTAAATTTCTTGTGTTTTCCCCCACAATCTTACCTGGCTTGAGGAAGGCACCTCTCCTTTTATCATGGTTTCTGGTGACATTTCACCAGAAGAGCAGATCTCGGGGGGGCTCTGAGTGGCAAGGTGTGATGAAGGCAGCGGGGGAGATGGTGCTTCCACTTTGCCATCACATTCGCCCCTTGAACGATTCAAGTTGGTGCCAGGCCCTGGGGAACACAGGAAACGAATCTCACCCACGTGAACTAGCACCAGCTGGTGGTTTTAAAAAAGGCCTTGCAAAGGCAGCGCACCAGCACTCGCAGCTTATCTTCTGTCAGTGGGAGGGAATGCAGCAGGGCAGTGATGCCAGGCTTTTTTTTTTTTAAAAAAAAAAAAACAACCAACCAACCAGCCTCCCCACCCAAAACGCCTCGTCTGTGTGTGATGTATGGAGTGGAGTTCTATCGCGTGGCGCCGTCACTAAAGAGTCCGTCGGGAGGAAGCAGCACAGAGCAGCACAAGTATCCAGAGCAATCGCTTTTCTGAGAGACACCCCTCGGAGAAGCACCATTTCAAACACGTACATTTTGATCTTTAAGTCACGCACCCACGAACTTTATTCTACTACTAAATTTCTCAAAAATTTATGTCAAAGCTTCAGATCTCAAGATTTGACCGTGGTGTTTTATTGAATATAGTACTGTCAGTCCTTGATCTCAAAGTGCTTTACAAAAGATTGGAAAAAAAAAATTCCTTTCATTCTACAGTTAGCAAGCATAGAAGTTCAAATATTTGTACAAAACTATTCAATTATACGTGACAGTCGTTACATTCCAAAAATCTAGCACAGTTAAAAAAGCAACCATCATTGGTTTGGCCGAAGCAGAATCTCACCCTCTTGCCTACGCTGCAGCGCAGCCAAACGGGAGACAACGTTCCAGAAACTGCACTGATAATCAGTGACAAATCTACGTGCAAATAAAGATTGCGTAATCAAGATCGGCGTACGTTACAAGTTGTTAAACAGACTTTAACACGCACCTTGAGCGAATATTGGAATGACATACCGAGCAGATCGTTATTTTCGAAAAGCAAGCAGGAGAAATCGGAAGCAGATATGGCATAAAAGTAAACAAATTTGTATTTATAGCACTCTATGCCCTAAAGGCTTTTTTATTTCTAACACAAAAGACTCTGATTGAAACCTTTACAGATATAAAAAACACACTCTTTAATACAGCTACAAATAACAAGTCAAAGTTTATACTATGCCCGAATACAATACACTGTGATCTGGGTCACAACAAAGCATTTGAGTGAAACCACACAAAGGTTTCTAAATGTGAACAATCCCAAACCTAACTTTTTTATCAGCTATCAAAGGAAATTCTGCTCTTGTGCCACAAGCTGGATGTTTGATTTACCTTCCTCCGCTTTGATCGCAGATTGAAATCTTTCACAACTTAGTTAACTCTATTCAAGTGTGATAACAATACTTCCCGTTTTCATTCTGATGGTGCTCATCTATTGCTGTTTTAATTTAAAGGCAAGACAACAAAATGCTAAAACCCTGTGAATTCAAGGTAGGAAAAAAATGGGGGAAAAAGTGAATTTGTCAGTATTTCCTGTCAGAAACTGTTACCAGGAAGCCAGCTCTCCAGGTCCATAGCAGAATTCCAACCTAGACATCCACATGTTCCTTTTTTTTTTTTTTTTTTTTTTTTTTTTTTCCCCCCCTGAACATCCCAAACTGATTCAAACCTCTCTGTTTACATTAAGGCTACACGCTGTGACCATCAGCAGTTTTGAGGCATCTCTGGGGTCCCACTTCCTTAAACAAATGGTATTTTACCATAATGATAAGCCAGCGGTGTCTGGCTTGATTAATTCTTTATTAGCACCTCTAGAGTTACACAGGTTCCTAAGAAGCTATGCACTTCTTCAAGCAAAAGTTAAGGCTGATGAACGAGCAATGAAACGGAGTAAGGAGAACCAATAAAATCAACCACCCCACGTGAGCCACGAAGATGTACGACAAAGTACAAAGATGCTTTTTAAAACAGCAAATGATATTTATTTATTTTCAACAACTGCAAGTAACACAGAGACACCTACATAAACAAACCATATTTTGTACACGAGAACGCAAACGGCACCTGAATTTACATTTTGCCCCGTTCTGACTCGTACTGTGAGAAACCTTTTTCCCTCCTGAATTTGTGTTGAAATTAATTTTATTTAATGAAAAAGTATTTTAACTTCTACATCAGAAAACAAAAGCGCTTTCCTTCAAGTCAGCTTTGCTTGTGAAAGACGGTGCACTGGTTTAGCAGTATTTATATGAATACAGTATTCTCTGACAGCTGGACAGTAAGCTATTGTGGAAAAGAGAAAGGCAAAGGTTATTATATCTTGTTTAAAATTGCATCCATTCTCCCCTAAATCTTCATTTACCATGTACAAAAATTCCACACCAAACTGAATACCTTTAGCTCCCTCTTGGGAGAGTTGACCACTACGTAAAATGTATTCCTTTAACATCCAGTGCAAGTCTAAATTATTGGCTCCGATGAACCACTAACTAAAAATAACGTATTAGCCGGTTTGCCCAAAAGAAAAGGGCTCTGTGTACCATGTAATCACTTGGCCAGCAAGCTTCATAGGAATTGCTTCTATAAACAGTTTCAGTTGCAACAGGGTAAACAGGAAAAGCCAAACATAGACATATAAAAAACTATGCAATGTACTATTCTGAAAATGTGCAAGAGTCGCCCTTTAAGGGAGTCTGTCACCCCAAAAATCTGAAAGCTTTGACCTTTTTTTTTTTAAAAAAAATGAGAAAACAAGGCTGTAAACAAATCAATTCATTGTCTAATGAATATTCAACTTCTCCTTCTCTTGATTACACTTGGCAAAACCAGCTAAAAACATTCAACTAAAGCCTTTGAGACTTTTGTAGATGTGGTGTAACCGTACAGAACAATGCTACCAAAGTTCAGTATCGTAAATGAAATGAGAGACACACCATCAAACCAAGGAGCTCAGGAGAACAGCACTGCTGAAGCTGGAAATCAGCAAAGAATAACCCGCTTTTACAGACAAACCATGAAAACATGTGAAGATGAGATAAACTAAACCTCTTATTTCTTATCTGAAAGACATCCCCAACAGCAAACCATGCAGATTCAGTAACTAATGGTACCCGAGACGACCTCAGTGTTACCCATCAATAACCCATATGTACTTTTTTTTTTTTTTTTCCTGCAAAACCTGCATGTTCTTTAGGTCTGACAAGCATATGAACAATGGTGATCTTGACCATCCACCATGAACATCACAAATTCTCAGAGCCCTTCAGCTGCAGGTTATCTGGTAACTGTGATACCCAGATGGCAAGATATTTAAATTTTCCCTCCTGATTTTAAATTAGCGTGAACTGGTTAACTTTAGAAACGCTGTCCTTCTGTTTGACTACATCACAGTGATACAACACCCCTCTCACACACCCCGGGGTTTGTTTTCCATCAGCAGAATATTAAGTATTTTCACACCTCATACAATCATTACAATGTACAGTGAATTAGGAAAAAAGAACACCGACCAACGTAAAAACCTTGGGGTATCCTCTATTAACTTTTACAGCTGGATGCAGAAGAAAAAATGAAAACTTGTAGTGTATGCAGTAACTCAGAGAGTAATATCCCCTTTAGAAACTGCTCATCAGAATTTTAAACACGTATAATATACCCTTTGGATCTGTCCACCTCCATTAAATCTTTTCCTCCAGAAAAGAAAAATAAATGCGAACACTGCTCTTTACTTACTGTAGTGCTTCGTAAGAGAATACAATCCAGTGAGAGCAGTTAAGATTAAAAACCACATTTGTTAAACTCAAGAGAGATTGATCACTTAAAATTCGTGAAGTTAGTGCATTTCCTTTTTCAAATCAAACAGATGAACACTGTGCTGGTTTTGGGATTTTTTTTTTTTTTTAAATAATCTTTTTCACTGTGCTCCTGCCTACTCCCCCCGCCTTTTTTTTTTTTTTTTTTTATATAACCCAGGACTTAAAATGACTCAACATCCTCAAATTGTGTTTGAAGAAAAATGTGAAAAACACCTACAAAGCTAGCACCAACCTAGTCTCTGCTTTTAGATCTCCAGAATCTTCTTACCATTTGCTTTACTGTCATTTTATACACTGAAAATTCTCATTAAACTTGATGTCCTATTGTATTCAGTAACGACCACTTAAAAGCAAGAGTGTCTTGTATCAGAACATCTTTTTCAAGTGATTAAAATAAATCAATACCTGTGAATTTGAATAAGATGAAAGAAAAAATATGTCCCTTAACTCCCTGCTTCTGTAAAAATCCTCTTAGCAGGCCACAGCCACATCCACCCACTGGTGTGAGAGCTACAGACCCAGCAAGCTGTCTTTTTGTCTTATGCAATTCGCTTTGCTTCCGTAAAGATGAGATAATTGAAGCTTAGCTGAATGAAATTCAAGTAATAGTGAGAGGACTGGAAAATAGGGACCTCAAATACAGGCTGGAAGGACCTGCCGAGCCATCGCACCCCTCGATGAGTAACCTCAATTTCTACCCCCTTTTCTACATGTGTCAATCTTTATTTTAAACTCAGTTGGTCTTCTGCCTACACCATGCCTGTTCCTAAACTCTGCTTCTCGTCTGGTTAGGCAATCTCTAATTTCTAGCCCAGATTTATGACTGCTTTATACTAATTTGTCTTTACGCCAAGTGGCCCTTCAGCTTTTAAGGAAAATCTGAAGTCCTCCAAGCAAGAGAGGGATGATAGATAGAGGGCAGCCCCGTCACTGTTTCAGTTTCTCATGACCGAAGATGAAACCGATTTTGCCTGTCACAGACCCAACACGTGGTGTGTGACTGACCCTCGCAGCCATGCACGGATCGACGCTCCCACCCGCCCCGGTGCCAGCCGAGGGCACCCTTCTCACCACCCGCAACCTGGCGACTGAACTGCTGCTCGGGACCTTTGCTACTGCATCGCAACCAAGGGATTTCCACCCAGGAGCCTGGTTTGAACCGTCTAAATCTCATTTAATTGGGAGATCATTCCATCAGCGAACTACCGTCGAAGAAACAAGAATGTGGCATTAGCAATTCCCCCCAAACGTTTAAGCTGCAGAATGAGGTACAAACATTTATTTTTTTCTCTGAACTTAATATTTTTTAAAAAGTAATTCTACTGTTCAGATATGAGAAGCAAAAAGAGTTACATTGTCCAGTTATTTCCCTCTATCATACAACTCAAGTGACCATTAAAAGTTATCTATCTTTTGCCATTGAGAGAAGATAAAATAAAATAACAGATATCTTAAGTGAACTTTTCATTCCATTTAATTGGTCAATTTTCTCAGTATAGATTAAAATAAACCTTTTCTGCTGGAAACTAACATGTAGCACTCCGAACGCCACCACTTGCTCTGTTTGATGTCACAAATGATATCCCCATCTTCCGAGAATATTATTAAAATACAGCATTAATGATTTTTCTTTCTTTGCGTGCTAGAGAATCAAACTATTTTACGACTGCAATGACAAAAATACAAAAGTGTGCTGAAAAAATAAGCCGTCCACACATAACGGTACACATCAGCTGTCTCCAACAGATCACCAGTAGAGAAACATTCATTTCCATGTGCGGGTATAACAAAACAATCAATAGCTGCTCATTACTCAGAGAGAGGTCTAAAAAGCAAACAGCAGGATGCAAAGATCACGCGATCCACAAAATCACAACTTTTTCTACAGGAGCAACAGTCAAGCCTCCTCTCAACATTAGTTAATTCTGGATTCAAAACCTTTGGAGCTACTTCTGTTATCACAAGGATTCAAATACTCTGTATTGTGTTTCTAAGTACCGTTCCGCAAACAAGTACAAGAGAAATCTGAGGACAAGCACTACATACACATGCACTAAATACTTTTTTCTATGGCTTTGGCAGTTAACATTAAAGTTGGATTGATTACCAGACAGGATTTTTCCAAATTTTACGGAAAGTGGGATTAAGCAGGATTTGAAACTGGATATAAACGTATCGGTAGTAATGAGGAAGTGACCTGTATCGTCTTCTCGCTAAAGATTTCACTTAATGCATCAGTTAACAAAAAAAAATATAAAAACACAAACTTACGAGAGAGAGAATGCGTGCCTTTGGGTAAGTACTCAAACAGCAGAGAACTATCCTCTCCCAGCATGTCGGCTTTCAGCGACAGCAAACTGTTCTTACTCATGAGAGCCGCGCGCAGGTTGGCGACGGTGGCGGCCTGGAGCGCATCCTCCTTCTCCGGAGTGAGGGGCTGTGAGATGTAGCTGCCTTCCCCACCCAGGAGGGCTTCGTCCACGCTGGCGTAGGGGTCCGATCGCTCCACTCTGCTGTCAGAGCTGCTGGGCTCTGTTACCGTCACGTCAGCACCTGCGTGACAAAAAGATGCCGTCAGAGACACAAGCAAAGTCCTGCGACGTGGCTCATCAGCCACGCGGGCCCGTCTGACCACGAGTCCGAACAACCGAGAACCAGGAACTTGTCACCACCTAGTTTGGCTTTATTGTCACTTTTCACGTGAGAGAGCGGTTTCTGGCCCCCTCATTTTCCAACAGCCCGAAGATGAACGTGGCCGTTCAGACCCGCCCCATGCCTGGGGATTTCTGTGCCTCAGGCCGGGGTCCATCCGCACCCCGAACGGGTCAGAACTTCAGTGCCACGTGCTACGATGGCAGGGCAGAGGTAGAGCGATGGGTACAGCCTCCTGTGCCACCCCTAACTGGAGAAAACTTTATTTATTTTAAACAAAGATTTCAGGATAGTCTGCTAGCACTGAAATGACATTCAAACGTTTAAGTCCTGTTTTTCCGTAATTTTACTCCCGTAGTTCAAATTTTCATTCCTTCCTTTCTTCCCCATGACGAAGGTTTTGAAAAATCCAGTAATAAACACCCTGTAATAGTGGACTGCTAATTAGTAGAGATCCCTTGGGGTCACTTATCTGAAAAATACACAGTAATAAGTGGTTCCCAGCATCTATCACAGGGTGGGTTTTATACAGAAGCGATGCCGTTAAAAACAAAAAACAAAGACACAGATGAGCCACTTGACAACAGGTAGCTACAAAGAAGCTGCATAAAAAGCGTGACAATTAACAAAAACATCAGCTAATGAAGCCAAACAAAAAAATGAAAAAGTTATGGTAAGGCTAATTCCTCCCTGTATAAACAGTTTATTTTTGCATTTTGGGGGAGGTCTAGTTAAAGATTCTAATTTGAACTTTGACTTTCTTATAGTCTTAAATAATTTCTGTATTTTTATGCAAAGAAACGTGACTCTTACACTCCTCTCTGCTCTTCACAGGAAACAATGACATTACCTACAAAAAGGGCTGTTACCCTGTTTATAAAGTGTGTAAACCCAATTGCAATTATCTATTCCAGAATCTGCAGCAGCAGAACAGAGGTGACACACTCAAAACCCAGTCAAGGACCTGGCAAGCAGGGCTAAAGCTTCCCAACAAACAGATGCCTTTGTAGAATTTGTACTATCAAGATGTAGGGGGGAAAAAAAAAATTCCAAATCCAAAGAGAAGGTATCGACAAAGAGTGATCAGATGGAAAAAGAAGTTTTGCAGATCCTGAACATTTTTTTGCCTCCTAGTTCAAAGTACAGTTAAATCCACTTAATGCGAGAGGCGACTATTACAGTTCAAACTAGTGGTATGACACGCACACAATTAACGCTCTGCTGCTTTCACAAATTCATCTCGCACTTCTCTGGGTATGGAATTCAGGGGTTGCCCGTACACACCACAGCAATCAGCTTATTCCTGCACGAGTTTCACAGCAGCAGAGCTCACGAAAAGGGAAGAGTGTGGCGCACCAGCACCCGGCTGTAGCGTTCGACAACTTCAAACCAGGGCAAGACATCAATCTACGCAGCCTTATTAAAAATGCTAATGAGGACACTGGTACAGTGCCAACCTCCTGTAACCTGGAAAACAGCTAAAGGAAGATTATTATTTTCATCTCATTTTACAGGTGGTAACTGCCAGAGAAAGACGTGGTGACTTGCTCGAGGTGTCCAGCCCGCGGAGCTGGGATCAGTCTGAATTCCCCAGCCCCAGCCAAGGTCACGCCAGATCCCTTAACACATTCAGATTCACTTTACTGGGCTGTGCTGTACTGCCAGTACCTCTTACTGGTAAGTTTTTCCACTTCCTTTCAAAAACAAAAAGCCTCAAAGCAAACAATAAAGAAGAAAACAATCATTAGCAGAGTACTCCTACACCCCGGAGATGTAAGGAATACCCAAGGCTGGGGGCTGCAAACACACCAGCAGCAACTCTGCAAACTATCAGAGAGGCTCTTTAAACCAAACCATTTTCCCTCCTCCGTCTGCGTTTTGCTTCTATAATCTCATATGATCCGTTTTATCAAATCCTAGCCAAGAAGAATTCAATTGCTTTGAATTTTTACATATTTTGTCACGCCTCTGTCACCGAGTGAGCGGTTAACAGGTATATGCATTTCTCTAGATGATAACGAAGTTTGTTTTAAAAACAAACATTTCCACATAAAGGGAAGTTACGAGAGTTTAAAAAACGGCAGCTGCTACCAAAAGTGGCAGAAGAAAGTAAATTCTAGCCCATTAAACTGCTAATGTAACAGTCAGCTTTATCAAATCAAAGCCATTCCTCTGCTCCTCACCACCCACACGGCAAATCACAGCAAATAACTCAGGCCAGAAAGCGTGTTTGTCAACAAAACGGTGTGGCCAAATAACGGGGCAGGCAGTAAATCACCTTGAGTTTTCTCCCGTCCTTTTTCACAGCCTATTGCAGATGCTGATTGACAGTTGCCAGAATCTGCTGCTGCCTGCTGCACATAAACACTAATTGCTAAAACACGCAGATTAATTGTAACCACAACAAGACATTAAATGTTCCTCAAAAGCCAAGATTAGAGACAGACAGTGAAATAGAGGCTTTAGAGCTTCCAGCTTTTATAGCTGATGTAACCTAATCAAATACATATTAAGGCAAAATAAATATCCACTTAGTCACAGAAGTACTAAAATATTCTCAGTGCACCAAAACCCAAAAATGCATGAAGTTCCTCTTCACAGCGCCTCCAAAACCACTTCTCCCTTTTTGCTGGAATACCGCTTCTTTTACAACATTTAGCCAAAGAATTATATGAATCAAAAGTATCCGTCACTTCCTGGTAATCTAAACTGTTTACTACAGTGCTTCAGCAGTACATAAACCAAGCTTTGGTAAATGAGCTTCTATTCTGCAATTATTCAAGGCAGCGGGTCACATGGCAGCCCGAGAGCTCCATCCAACTCCTCCACATCTCATTTTTCACACCGCTGAGACAGTCCCTGCGACTGCCCGGATTCCAGGCACCGCTCGCAGGAAATCCCGATCGGGGGCAGCAAGCTAAACACGGGATTAATGCTGCTCTAAAAAACCAAGCTCATTAGTCTCTTTAGCAAATAATTATTTTGCAGTTATTCTACTACACCAGCCTACTTTCCAAAACACGGAAGCTTTAGAGAAGCTTTATTAGTTTGTTGACTTGGATGAATATTTTTAATTATTATTTTTTATTTTCAAATAAAACACGGGGCCTATTTTTTAACAATTTTGGCAACGGTATTCCCATGCATCTCTGAAACTCCAAAAGCAACACTGAACTGGCGAAGTTCTTATCTACAGATGAAAGCCTAACGCAAAAGGAATATATTCTCACAGAGATCACACATCCCAGCACGACAAAACACACTTCACTCCCAGCCACGCTGACCAGGCTTTAACAAATCTATAAAGAGGAATAATGCTCACGCCAGTACGACACCCCAAACACCCACGGGGTGGCTGTTACACAGACATTTACACTTGGGCGAAACAAAAGTGAACCGTCTGCTTGCTCTGCAAGGGAAGTACAGCCACAGGAAACTCCTTTGCTTTGCTACACTATGCGAAGCTCAAATCCAGACCAGAAATCCCATTTATCATCGGGCAAGCCGCTACTACCATTAAAATAAAAGATTACCTCAGAGTCATATAAAACTGAGCTCCTGTCACAAACCCAGGTATGAGAAAACCAAGCTGCACTAGTCAGAAAATCAGGCAGCACTACAGACATCTGCCAGCCCCTTGAAAAGGGCTACAGCAGAAATAAAGGTGATGCAACTTACTAAAAGTATCCGAATGAAATGTTCACCTGACAAACTGTTTTCCAAAACCTAGGAGAAAATTGACAGTAAAAAGCACTAAACCTAGTCAAACAACAACAAAAAACACCAAACGTATGTCATCCCAGAAAGACCAAGGAAAAGCTTCTTCATTTTAAAGAATCCATTTAAGTACTTTAATTAATTACTTTAACACAAACCCCCTTTTTTTTCTTCTGTTTCTTCTCCCTGCTTCAGTCATTTTTTCCTCTTTACAGTTTAAACTAAGCTGTTACCAAACTACCTCCTCAGTGTCTGCTTCGTTCACACTTATTTCTTGTTTGTATTGTGTTGTTACCTTTTCAGTAAACCCCCAGATGTGTTTTCTGTTGTTTCCCAGACTCCCAATGCTATTATTCTCTTTCATAATCTCTTTTTTTAAAGTAATTTTCTCCTCTTTCAACTTTCATTCCTGCTCTCTCATGTACATAGTTGAACATCTTCTAAAAATCTGTAGCTGGAGGACTAAACGCATGAGAAGAAAGGCGTGAATAAAAGCCAGACAAGATCACATCTGTTGCTGGAAAATTCAAAGCAGAAACAAGCTCTTCCCCAAGAACTAAAGGCAACGTTTTGCCAGGTCGCTATGCCTCAATATTGCTCTTTTCATTACAGTCTCGAGGTAAGAGGAGATCCAAGAAGTCTGTCATCTTCTCTTCAAAGTCCCCTTGTGTTTGGCAGAAATACAAAGCAGTAACGCTTCCCCCTCGGTCTCCCGAGCTTCCAGGATGATGAGGTCGCGTGACATGCGTTGTCAAGCGACTGCCTACCTAATCAAAGTGACCCGACCGCCAGAGAGCTGGGGGAAGGCAGCCAGCAAACGCCGCGGTCCTTGAAAGAAGCGCAACAGTATTTAGCTTATCATTTATAGCCAAAGCTTTAAGCCAGTTTCTCTAAGTTCTCCCTCTCACCCCAGCAAATTTCAGGAAGCTTTCAGGAGCCCTTCCAACCTCTCCTCAACTCCCCTCGGACGTAGCACTTCTCACAGCACGAGCCATCCCTCCAAGCACACCTTTCTGAACGGGAGGTTATCGCTGCTCATCGGCTCCAGACGAGTCCCCGCAGCCTCCAAAGTCAACGGCAGTTCAAGCCGCCTCCTATCCCAGAGAGTGTCCTCACCCTTCCCACGTAGCTCACCCGATCTCACAGCGGCTGTACCTGGTTTAGCAGAATTTAAGCCTTCAGGT